TGAAGAAAAAAAAAACTGGAGTTCCCGACCCCTTCTTGGTGCCTATTTTCTCGAGCTGGATCGATACGTGAGACGCCCGAGGCCCAAAACGGCGCAAGAGTGCTCACCCCGTTGCAGTTGTCCTCGCGACGCGTGGATGTCAGGGCCCGCACCCCACAAGATGGATCCTCTGCCCTGTCCAGGAGTGCAATTCGACGCGGATGTCGAGGCGAATCCAGCCAGGGCCCCAAGAGGCCCAGAAAAGGCACAAAACAGTAAAAACTAACTCCTGTCCTTCTCCTCCTCATCCTGGTCCTCCTCCCCCAGACCTCTACGACGACTCGAGTTGTCCAGTCGCTGGTACCAGGAGCTCTCGAATGCTTCGTATGGGCCATTAGGCTCTACAATGGGCAGCGGCCCCCAGAGGACAAAAATTGCCCAAAATATCTCCGCCTCCTTCTCCTTCTCCTCCTCCTCCACCTCCTGCTCCACCTCCTCCTCCTCCTTCACCTCCCTCTCCTCCTCCTCCTCCTGCCCATCCTCCTCCTCCTCCTCTTCTTCCTCCTCTTCCTCTTCCTCATCGTCATCACCTAATAATGGTATTGATACTAACAATAAGAATACGAACAATAATGATAAGAACAAGGATAAGAAGAAGACGAATAATACTTTTACTGGGAATAACATCCGTAATAATAACATCAATAACGTAGTAAAAATATTACAAACATAGAACAAAAAAAACAATTCAGAAGTAACAATAACAAAACAAAATTGTGTATAATAAAAACAACAATAATAATACCCATCAGAAAAATATAATATTAACACTCATAATGGTACGAATGATAATCATAATACTAGTGATATAGGAATACGAACAGTAACAGTAACACGAACGATAACAACAATAATAATAAACATCATTATCAGCATCATCCGCATCATCATCATCATCAGCATCATCATCATCATCAGCAGCAGCAGCAGCATCACCATCACCATCACCATCACCATCACCATCACCATCATTACATCATCATCATCATCATCATCATCATCATCATCATCATCATCATCATCATCATCGTCGTCGACATCAGCATCAGCAGTATAGTCATCATCATCATCATCATCATCATCATCATCATCATCATCATCATCATCATCATCATCATCATCATCATCGTCGACATCATCAGCATCATCGTCATCATCAGTATCACCAGCAGCATCCTGATCAGCATGATCGTCGAAATCATCATCATCATCATCATCATCATCAGCATCATCGTCATCTGCATCATCATCAGCATCATCATCAGCATCATCATCAGCATCAGCATCGCCATCGTCACCATGATCATCGTCACCATCATCATCATCATCATCATCATCATCATCATCATCATCATCATCATCATCATCCACATCATCATCATCAGCATCATCATCAGCATCATCGCCAGCATCAGCATCGTCATCATCATCTGCAGGTTCATCATCATCATCGTCATCATCAACATCATCAACAACAGTATCATCAGCATCATCATCAGCATCATCAGGATCACCATAATCATCGTCATCGTCATCATCATCACCAGCAGCAGCAGCGCATCATCATCGTCCTTATCAGCAGCATCATCAGCGTCATCAGCATCATCATCATCAGCAGCAGCATCATCATCGCCGTCGTCAGCAGCAGCATCAGCATCACCATCGCCATCGTCATCATCATCATCATCATCGCCATGGGCAGCCGCATCAGCATCATCATGAACATCATCAACCTAACCATCATCAGCAGCAGTATCATCATCGTCATCAGCATCATCATCAGCAGCAGCAGCGCATCATCATCGTCAGCATCAGCAGCATCAACATCGTCATCATCCTCATCATCATCAGCAGCATCAGCATCAGCATCACCATCGCCATCATCATCACCACCATCTACAGCCGCATCAGCATCATCATCATCAACATCAGCATCATCAGCAGCAGCATCATCAGAACACTGCCAATAGCATCATAATAACCGTCATCACAATGATCATCAAACTCATCATCAACAGATGCATCATCATGAATAACAACAGCATTGTAAATCATCATGAACATCATAATCGTCATCATCAGCAGCATGAGCATCATAATCATCATCAGCAGCAACATGATGATCAGCATCATTGGCATCGTCAACATCATCATAAGCATCAGCATCATCAGCATCATCATTATCAGCAGCATCGTCATGAGCAGCAGCAGTATCAGAATGAGCATCATAACCACCATCCCTCAAGAACCACCCCGCGAACCTCCAGGGGTGCGTTCTAACCAGAATTTCGAAGCGGATCAAGCAGTGTTCACCAGGGCACCCCTGGACGCGCAAATTACTTGTATACCCAAGCATAAAGATACACATGCATATGTAAACGTGTGTATACATATACAGAAAGATGCACTATAGACATATACGCATGATCACGTGAACCGTGTACAAGTGTGTGTGTGTGTATGTAAAGGCACGTCGATGTGAAGTAAACCATCGACCCTAACTTCCTCCTCCTCCTCCTCCTCCACTTCCTCCTCCTCCTCCTCACTACCACCACGCCCACGCCCACGACCAGCCCCACCACCCCACCCGCCCCGCTCCGCCTGTGCTGGAGCACAAGCGCGGACAGCAGCGCAACCACGCCCGAGAGCCACACGGCCGTGGGCGACAGCAGAGACTGACAGCGGCGCGGGTCGTCGCCGTCGTCGCCGTCGCCGTCACCGCCGCAGCCGCTGGCGCCGTCCGAGGATCGAGGACTTCGAGGATCGAGGACTTCGAGGATCGAGGACTTCGAGGGTCGAGGTTCGGGGCTCGTGGATATTCTTGGCCCTCCTTGGATTGGCTGGGGCAAACTCGTGGCCACGGCTGGATCCGCATCGAAATTCTGGTCGGAACGCACCCAGGGACAGGCCACTGGGGCGTCGTAGTCGTCGCCGCCGCCGCCGCCGTCGTCGTCGTCGTCGCAGCCGCTGCCGCCGCCGCCGTCGTCGCCGTGGCAGTAGCAGTAGAAACATGAAGCGCAGTACCAGAGGATCAGTAGCTGGGCGAACAAGAGAGAGTCCACCTTTCACTGTTCAGCCTGCTGGAAAATCCAACTATCGACCCCCACCACCTGATCCTCATAGAACACCCTACTAGCGCGAAACATATGTTCAGGATCAGCGCCACGCAACTCAAGCTGGTCCCCCGTCCACGTGGGGGTGCGTCTGGATCAGCGGTGGAAGGACAACGATATGATCCCTGCTAAACACCCTCACAGCAGGATGCCGAGATGCTCCTGAGAGGGCCCCGAGAGGCTCCTGAGAGGATCCCGATGGGCGCCCGAGGAGGATCTTGAGAGGCTCCCGGGAGCGTCCTGGGAGGCTCCTGAGAGGACCCTGAGAGGGTCCCCAGATACTCCCGGGAGGGGCGCCCTGCTGGGAGCACAGGGAGCGGCATCGACATAAACTTCCGAAGGCCATCGCGGATCTCACGGGTCGGCGCTGACACGCCCGGCGGCGCCTCTGGCACCGCCCCGGGCGCGCTTCGCACGCCACGGGGGGGGGGTCCAGCGCCGATCCTATAAATCCGCGCGCGCCAACAAAAGTTGCTGTTTACAGTCGGGGCGTTGACCTAAAGAACCCTGAATAAGGAACGAGGCCCCTGTTTTCCACAAGTTAAACTTCGATTTCCCATCGAAAACATAAGGAAACCTCAGGCAAGCTGTGAAACAATCAAGGAACACCGAGCTCCTCCCCAACAAAAAGGGTTACTCCTTCAGCGCCTCGACTGTATGCGATCCTTGTCCTTCGAACCAAGGCAACAAGAAAAACAGCAGCCCGGAATTCGAGCAGTTCCCGAGACAGCCTGGGCCCGAAACGTTGAGCCTCGTCCGAGAAACGGCTTCTGATGGCGGTCGTGGCTCTCACAGGATCTCAACGCCCGGGCGCGAACTAATCCGGCGCAGTGCAAACCAAACTCAGCGAATGTAAAAAACCTGCGCTGCAAATAAAAAGGGTTCCCGAACCTCCTGAATCAGGACTCCTTGGTAAGGATTCCTTAGCACGGATTCCTTACTACGGATCGCTTAAGCGCGGTTCTTTCCGAGGGATTCCTTAGGAAGGATTCCTTAGCAAGGATTCTGCACTAAGGATTCCTTACGAAGGATTCCTTAATGAGGATTTATTACTAAGGATTCGTTACTGATGTTTTATCACTCAGTATTCCTTAGTATGGATTACGTACTATGGATTCACTACCTCGGGCTCCTTAGTAAGGACGCGCCCCCGAGATAGTCGTTGGCGATCGGACAGCTCGTTCTGGACGTAAATCACGCATGCTCTCCTCAGCACTTTGTCTGAGGTAAAATACCGTGTCATTGATTTACCAGCCTGGAACATATCCCTATCCCTATGCTGGGCATCTCCTCATCACGATGCCAATCTTAGGGGTTCCCTTATTTTTTGAGGGCACATCCCTAAGATTGTCATCGCCTTTTGGCGTGTCAATCTTAGGGATAGGGATAAGTTCGAGGCTGGTAAATTGATGGCAAGTGCAGGGATCATCTCGGCTGCGCCTCGTTGAAAACTGACGAGCGCAAACTGGCCGACGTGGAGGGCGAAAGCGTGGTCCGCTCCGTTGTCAACGACGCATTTGCGGGCGGAGAACAGCGTCTGAGGCTGCACGCGGAAACTGCAAGCCCCAAAGGGGCTAATATCCCTGTGCCCCAGCTAGCAATCCACTCTGGTCCGTGACGGTCGACTACCACTGCGCATCCGCGATCGTGCAATGCCTAGGCACGAACCGAATCGCCACCCGCCAGTGCACGGTAGCTCGGCGCGACAAAAAGAAAGGGCAGCGTTCACGAAAACAACCAAGCATCAAAAGCCATGCGGCGGATGTTGTGGATAAAGAGCCATGGGATTAGGAACCCAAAAGGTCGCGACCGATGGGCGGCCAGCTGGGGCCACGCGCCTTGCTTCGAAACAGGAAGAAGCGCGTCAGGGTCTGGCCCCGTCAAAAGAAAATCTCTTCTATATTGATATCACGGTTAAAAAAAAATCGTTGCCTTCGCATCGTCACGCTGAGGTAGGTCGTAGGTAGGCCGATGTAGGCTTAGGTAGGCTATCGGTACGCTTTAAAGCAAGCCGTAGGTAAGGCCAGGGCAAGGCTAGGTGGTCCCAGGAAGGCTCAGGGGACGCCTAAGAAAGCCTGGGGTAGGCCTAGGTAAGCCAAGGTAGGCCGAAAGTAAGCCTTGGGTAGATCTAAACGGAAAGTCTGAGGAAGGCAGCCTCGTGTAGGCTGGCCTTGCCCAAGTCGGCCTATGTTAAACTGGCCTGAAGTAGGCTCAGCGTAAGCCTAGGTCGGCTTAGGAAAAGCCTAAGACAACCCTAAGTTAGGCCTGCGAGAACTTAGTATAAGACCTATAGGTGAGCCACGGGTAAGCTCAAAGTCGCCTTTTTGTTAGAGCCTTCATACGATGTCATTTGTCATAGATTTCAATCGTGTTCCTTTTTGATGGGACTTTGACTACGATTCTTTTTTGTGGCGGATTTCAATTCCTTTTTGTGGAGAATTTGAATGGGATCCCCTTTGTGGCAGATTTCAATCAAACTCTTTTTCCTCGAGAATGTGAATCGGATTCTTCTTGTGCGGGAATTCAACAAAAGTTTTCCTTGTGTAAAGCCCTCAATAGGATCCCACACGGCGAGAATGTGTATCGGATTCCTTTTGTGGAACATTTGAAGAGGACTCCTTGCGTGGAGGCTTTCAAAACGATTCCTTGGGCTTACTTGGGGGAAACCAGGAAGAGAAAGAGGCATAACCAAAAAACAAAAATAACACAAGTAAAATGCATGGAAATTCTCGATGTTTTTAATGCTCGCGTTGCGGAAAACTGCAACAACAAAACACAGCGCGTCCAGTCCCCGAAGCGCCAAAACCTTATGTGTTACAACATATTCACCATCGGAATACACTGAAACATTGTAGAACGCATCGCTCTCAGCTGTCGGAGGCTGAAAAACGCTTCGTCTTACACGGTTATGATTCCTTCCGATGCTGAAAACAGTGCAAACACACAACATGTTGGCGCCTCGGGGCCTGAGAACGCTGTGTTTTGAAATGCGCTGTATTGCGAACACCAGAAATATTTGTAACACAACAACTTTCGCAATGTCCTTGAATTCCCCATTTGTTTGTCTTTCTCCTCCTGGTTTCTCCAAGTGAACCCACAATGACAATCAAATTGCAAGCCTTCCACAGAAGGAATCCGGTTGAAATCCTCCGCAAAACAAATCCTACACGAGTTCTCCACATAAGGAATCCGATTCGAATTCTCGACAACAGGAATCCGAATGCGATTCTCGACGAAAAGACCCCCATTGAGATCCTCCACAAGAAAGAATCCGATTCAAATCCTTAATAAAAGAAAACCGATTCAGATTCTCAGCAAAAATAATCAGATTGGAATCCTTTACAAAACGAATACGATTCAAATTCTGCACAAAAGAATCCTTGATCGATCCTCCACAAAAGAGAACTCTAAACAGATTCTCAACAAAAGAATTCCTCTTGAAATCCTCTGCAAAAAGAATCGTACTGAAGTCCTTTGCACAAGGGGAGTCCTACTGAAACCCGTTACAAAAAGAATCCGCTGCAAATCACGACAGAAGGAATCATATTCAAATCCATCACGAAAGAGAAACAGGAGAGAAGGAGGAGGGGTGGGAGGGAGGAGGAAGAGGAGGAGAAGGAGGAGACGGGGGGAGCAGGAGGAGGCAAGGGAGGAGGAAGCTGTATGGCCCTTTAGGGCGTCGTTTGAGGACACGGCGATACAACCCTGACGGAGCGCCCCTCCCTGGGAGCAGCCTTCCCCTTCGGCTCCTTGCCTCCCACACGCCTCGGGCTCCCCTCTTCTTCGGGGTCGGCAGCACCGGCCGCGAGGCCTCCACGATAATCCCAGACAGAAGGCCTGGGGAAGGGAGGGTCCGTGCCCCCTCCCCCCAAGCCGTCCCCCTCCAGTGTCCAGTTGCGCTGCCCCGCGATTCCGCCACCGCTCGGGAGGGCGCGCAGGTGGGAAGGCGTTGGGAGGCCTTGGACACGTGCCTAGCACTTCAGGTGCAAGGACTCGCAGTTTTGCCCAAGAGCGTGATGCTCTACATCAAAGTCAGCGATAAAAAAAAGCTGCCTCGGCGTGGGTTTCGACTGCAGCGTGGACATCAAGCTCTCCTCCTCAGAGTCGACCTCGTCCCAGGCAGACTGGCCAGATCTACTCGAGTCAAGCGAGTGACGAAAGCACGGACTGTAAATCAACGTACCCCTCGATTCGCGCGTGCACGGGGCTCAGAAGGCCTGGACGCACGGGCACAAGGTCTACGGGACTTTCGAAGACATTCGGACCACCTGCCGCAGGCGTCTGGGGCACACTCTGCCTTCGGCTTCCCGAGGGCGAAGTTTGACCGCGGCTTTGCGGTTGAGAGCGGACAAGCACGATCCAAGGGACGAGCTTCCGAAAAAATGCATAAAACTTGGCTTCACACTTGAATTCGAGAACCGGGCGGGGCTCCAGCATGGGGCTGACAACTCATCTCCTCGGCACGTCCTTCGAGCTCTCAGCCATTTTCTTCAGGGTACTCGTCCAGGGGAGACACTGTTTGCCATAGCAGTTAGAGGCAAACGGCTACATTCCCGAGTAAAAGAAAAATCCATAGCTATTGAGTGAGGATGATGAGCGCACACGTTGCCATGATGGCGAGGAGACTCCCATGCACCATTGATGGCTGCGAAACACAGGCCACAAAATGTGTTACGGCTTCGCCTACCTGGTTCCGCGCGATTTCGTGCCAGGAGTCGGAAGCATGCTGTTGGTTCCGCGGCATCACCCCAGAACACTGGACACAAGTGGGGCCGCCGAGTTCGACGGAGGATTGGCAGTTTCACCAGAGGCAGCGTCAACGAGTGCCCAACGTAGGCGAGACTAAGAACATATACCCTCGCTTCGCCAGTGGTCGTTTCGGGGATCCACTGCGCTTTCGGCGAGTGGAAGTTGCCGTCACCACTCTCACGGCCCAGGAAGTACCCACGGCTTTGGGAGCGGTATCAGCGGGGCGATCTGAACCCGAGCAGACTGTGGCCCGTGGGGAACTGTGGGGACCCGTATTGGCCATTGGGTGAAAAGTCGGGCACGGGTGTACGTGTCGGACAATGCTACAGTCGTGGACAGTTGGCTTCAAAGACGGTTCGAAGATCCGACAGGGGCCAGTGCTAGCAGAAGCTCATGGGTATTGCCCACAAAGCACCTGATATGTCTCAGGTGACCGTCATGCAGGTTCCCTCCCATCTCGATCCAGAGCAGAGATCTCCCGTTACGCCTTGCCTCCTGTGACGTTTGTCGGCAATCATGTTGCAGACGAGATCGCTGGCCACGCGGCCAGGACTGTTCGTGTTGACGAGTTGATCCAAGCACGACTTGCACAGGAAGAGCACGATGCGAGACAGGTCCGAAGACGCCCCTTGCGCGCCACCCTGGAGGCGACGGAGGCTGCCCCGCCAGAGGGCCGCCACGAGCTTCCAGCAGGCCCGTCCCCCCCCCCCCCTCACCTGCTTCTCTCTCTCGGTTTTCAGTTCCGCTCACGTCCTGGCCGCGGATGGTCGGTCCTGAACCGTGTGTCACAGCTCGGCGTCGGCCGCGACGGCGACGGCCTGGCGCAGGGCCTGGCGCAGGACAGTTTGCTTCCCTCTTGTCGGTGTCGATTCCACTCTCTTTCAGCTGCCGAGGGGTCGACAGATTCATCTTGTGGGGGGGGGGCTACGTCCATTCGACTCATCAGATGATCTTCCAAGGAGCACCCGTCGGTCGGAAGAAGTGGGCAGAAACGTGAAGTAGGAAAGCGGTGAAAGCAGATTGGGCTTCCGCCCGCCCCCCCGAAGACGAGAGAAGAGGGAAGACATCTCGACCCTTGAAGTAGGAAGGCACCTGAAGTAGGTTGGGATCTGGGAATCCAGAAACACCTACTTTCAACGACCGGCAGGTACTCTGAAACTTTGGCTGTGTGCACGGGTACTACGGGAGCTCCCAACTGACGGCGCCCTTGGCGGGGCCGCGCGAGGCGGGGCATCGCGCGAGGCCCCAGCGCATGCCCACGCGTCGACGGTGCAAACACAGCGCCTCGAGGCCGGGCAAGGACACAAGGACATGCCGACCAACCGAGTTTTCCTCGTATTTTAGACTCGGCGCTGTCGGTGTCGCTCGATGTCGCATCGCGACGGGATCCACTCCATTCCATTCCTCATCCTCCTCCTCCTCCGCCTCCTCCTTCCCTAAGGACGAGGGGCCTTGCCCGTAAGCCGGGTCGGCAGCAGCCCGTAGCGCCACAGCTCACACACGCCTGGGCGGCTGGGTGGGGGGGCCCAGCTTCCCTCCTGGTCGTCGTCGTCCTCCCCCTCGTGCCCTTGGAGGGGGAGGGCTGGGACAAGGGGGAGGATGATCGATACCCCTCCCCGCACGCATGTCTTACGCGTGCCGAATCCAGCGCCCCAATCTTCGATACCCCCTTTGGCGGTTAAACTCGTGGAGGTGCGTGCCAAATGCGCTCGCTCCAGACGCATGCTCGACATCCCCGCGCCGCACTCGTGTCCCTTCTCGTGCGAGGCACCCCGCGCCCCCACATGATCGCTGCTCCTGCCGGCGCGCAATGCTTGATCGGCGGCGTTTCGGGCACGACCTGCGGTCAGCTTACGATGGAACTCACGCGAAGCAAATCGAGCGACGAGAAAAAACGGGCTTAACGCAAGATGGCATGGCGACCTTACGCGGCGGCTCACACGGGCCGACAGCGCGGCACGCTAATATTGGAGACGCGGGCGCCGACGCGCGACGTTACGCGGGTGGCTTACGCGCCAATGTCGGCGCAGACAGACGACCCGTTTTTTTTTCCGCCGCTCACTTGAGGCACGTGCAGGGGAAGGGGAGGCAGGAGGAGCAAGATCGGCGATTCCGGAGGGTGTGGTTTGCCAAGGGTGTGGTCTGCCACCGGCACCCTGGGGGGGGCACTTCTGTGGGGCGGGCGAGGACCCTGGCCGAGCTCTCCGCCGCGCCCCGAGGAAGCCCGACGAGGACAGCGCCGCACCCCCGCAAGCCCCAACGGCGTCGATCGCAAGCCACACCCCGGCGCAACCGTACACTCTTGTCGGCGGCGAGCGAAGGAGGGACAAATGAGAAGGAGAAGGCCTTCTCAGAAGGCGGCGGGACTTCTCGGAAGCCCTCGCGCCTTCCGAGAAGTTTTTGCTGCCTGTCCTCGGGGAATTTGGACGCCCGAAATGGGTACGGAAAAATGGGTACAATACCCAACAACAAATGTTGTCCCAAACCAACAGCGGCCGCTGTTGGGCTGGCGGCCTTCTGTCTCGAATGGACACAAGCCGCGGCGGCGTGGACAGCGAATCCCGTTCAAGATGACCAGGAACTGCTGCTGGGCACTGTGTACCCATTCCTGCCATACCCATCTCGTGCGTGCAGAGGGAGGGCTCAGAAAACTCCTTCTCGGAAGGCCGGCGGGCTCCCGAGCCCTCTGAGCCTCGCCATCGCTCGGACGTCCATTCCCTGTGTTTTTGCTCGGTTTCGTGCGTGGTTTTTTCGGCAAATGGTCAAGGATGCTCCTCGATGGTCCTCGCCGAGGAAAAAACGCACACGTCCGAGCGATGCCAGGGAGCAGGCCTTCTCCTGCTCGCTCCGCCCCCCTCGCTCGCTCGCCGCCGATGCTACGGTCGCCGAGCCCGTGGGAGGCGACCGCGCACGGCCGGGGGGGAGCCCGGCGACAGGCGTGAGGCCTCCGCCTCGCCATCGCTCGGACGTCCATTGCCTGTGCATTTTTCGGTTTCGTGCGTGTTTTTTCTGCTCGATGGTCCAGGATCGTCCTCAATGGTTCTCGCCGAGGAAAAATGCACACGTCCGAGCGATGCCAGGCCGCGGGGTGCGCGCGACGAGCCGGCGCGGCGTGCCGCCGGCGGTGGCGGCCCCGAGGAGGGGCGCGGCGTGCCGGGCGCGGGCGGGTCGTGCAGGAGCGGAGGGGCCCTGGGGCACGCAGCAGGAGCAGACACACCGATCACGGGGCGCCCCAGCTCTACTCCATGTCCTGCTACCCTCGTCAAGATGAACCTCAACAGTTGCTGGCACGTCATTTCGATTTCGGCGCGCCCCTCAATGTCGACACGCCGCCCCTTCAATGTCGGGGCGAGGGCAAAGATAGTCTGACCGAAGTTGACTCGAAAGTTTGACGTCGACCGACATTGGAGGGGCGGCGCATGCAAGTACCCCGCACTCATCGATACTCGGCCCCAGATCTTCCGACAAGCAGTTCAACCACGTCAGACATTTTGAGGTTAATTTTGACGAGGGTCCTGGGTGCTCGTCGTCCCCATCCATGTCCCGCGTTTCCCCTCCTGTTTCTCGGGAGTCCACGCGGGAGTCGACGATCTCGGTTGTGTCTGCGTAGAGTTTTGCCCCCTGCAAAAGGGGCAGTGGGGTACAGAAGCGTGCAGTCCACCAGCTGCCAGGGCGCGATCCAGGGAAAAAGGCCATCATTGACAATGACGCTGCGCGGAAGCAATCCGAAGCGGAGAACTTTGTGGCATCCGGAAAAATGATCAGCTGCTGCGCTCGGCAGGGACGGCCACGAAGGGCGGGGCCACCAGGTGGCGAGTGCGCAGGACGCGGGACCAGGAAGGGAACTACGATACAAAAGGAGCGTAGCAAACCGTTGGCGAGCACACACAGAAAACACATACCACATGCACACTCGCCAAATGCATGTTCGATGACCCCTCTGTATACGTGGCTCTCGTGTGCAGAAGCCACCCTTGGCGCCTACACGAATGAAAGCACGCGCCAAACGCGCAGGTGTCAGACGCATGCTCGATTCCCCGATCCGTAGAGATATTTTGACATGGGGAGAGTCTGGCATCTCCATGTTCGATAGCCTCCTCAGCGCTTACACACGTGAATGTGTGCGCCCAATGCGCACTCGCCAAACGCATGTTCGATACCCTTATCCGCAAAAATATGTTGACGTGCGCTGGATCCGGCATCCACGTGTTCGACAGCCCCATTGGCGCCTACACAAGTGAAAACAAGTGCCACATGATCGCGCCAGACGCACGCTCGATACCCCTATCCGCACACGCATTGCTTCGTGTGAATAGTCCAGCGCCCCCTGTTCGAAAACCACCTGGGCACCTACATAAGTGAAAACAGTTCCCAGATGCGCACGCGCCAGACGCATGTTCGACACAGCCCTGCGCACACGTATTGACACATGCGGTTGCACACGTGAACTACATACCACATGCGCACGCTCCAGACGCATATCCAATACCCCCTCCGCACATGTTGTCTTACCTGTGCAAAATGCCGCACCCCTTGGCGCATACATGAAAAAAAACACGCACCACATGGCCAAGCGCCAGACGCATATTTTATGATCCC